TGTTGGAGAAAAGAGCACTGCATGTCAGCTTTAATTCAGTAATATACCACATCTTGTAGGATGACGACCCAACCTCACTAAGTATGTTTCCATACTGGCATCTTAGATGAGCCTTCACCAGATCATCCCACTGTTGTATCAGGCTAGCTGCTTCTGAGTGACGTGGTTGTGGTTAGACCAGTGACTCTCGTAGTTGAATCTCTATCATTCTTGGTCTGAGACAATGCTACATGAAATATGTTGGAGAATCAAGTATTTTGATAGTGGTGCTGGCAGAGGCACTGTGGGCAGGGAAGGTAAACCTATATTTGGAGTACATACCTGTTCTGGTAAGAAGGAAGCTTTATGGCATCTGCAAGATTTTTAAAAAATCCAGTTCTGGTTCCTAAATATGCTACCAGTGCCATCAAGTTGTCTCCAATTCATGGTGACCCCATCTATGTCAGAGTGGAACAGTGCTCCAAAGGATTTTCAACGGCTGATTTGTTGGAATTGGAAATGGAGCACCAAGATTTTTTTTTTTTTTTTTTTGAGGCTTCTCTGGGTGGACTTCTACTTCCAAAATTTGGATTAGCAGCCAAGCATGTTAACCATCTGCATCACACTCTACTACCTTATATAGCTTTGATCCCAAATCAGTCCCTGGGTGGCACAAACAGTTTGTGCTTGAGTATGGTTTGAACCCACCAGAAGGCCTGGGGATCTGTTTCTGTAAAGATTACAGCCAAGAAAACCCTGTGGCTCAGTTCTACTCTGTAGCACACGGGGTTGTTATGGCTCAGAACCCACTGGAAAGCAACAGGTTTATGTTTCGTCCCCAATCACTCTATCCACTCAAGGACAGTGTACTGCTCATTCTTTTTTTCCCCTTCAGATACTTTCTTTTTATCTAGTCCTTCAACTCCCGCTGTTTTTTTTCAGAGTTGGAACTCTTGTTGGTAGAATGTCTACCGGTGAAGTCAAGACCATCCAAATAGACAAAGGTAAAAGGCATTCAAAAAGATGAGCAAGTGTTCTCATTTCATTCCCATTCTCTAAACGAGGCTGTTGAAATGCAGGTTCTACTTCCCCAATGAGTATAGCCATTCGGAAGGAAGGTTGGGCAATCTAATTCCGTAGTGACACC